AGCTTGGTTGCTGATTGAGCTAAGGTTGTTGTACTTTTAAAGTTACGGTATTTTTGATACCATATTGTTTTTGTTGACCCCCTTTTCCACTTACAGAGCTAGGTTATTGTTTTTCTTTGAAATAAATATTCATGTAATTTTATTGGTATCTATCTTCATTTTTTACATTTACCAGTAGCTGCCTCATTTCCTACCCTAGGCTTATACTCGAGTCAATATTTTTTCCCAGTTTTTTGTGGTAAAATTAGGTGCCTCGGCTTATATTCGGGTCGGCTTAACCTCGAGTATATACGGTATATTAAAATCTGAGGAAAATACTGTTTTACACAGCACATACTTAACCTGTACAATTCATTGTAACAAGGTATTCTGGAGACCAAGACCAAAGTAAGATTAAAAAAAGGATTTCACACTTAAATGAAAAATGGGAACATTCACATTAAATATCAGATAACTGACTAATTGATGAGTGGATGCATTTTGTATCAACTATTCAAGTAGTTGGTAGGGCGCCTCTGCCTTTGAAGTATACACTTCAAAGGTAAAAAGCACCACATGGAGCCCGGGGTTAGCGGGGGTGGGGAGGAGAGGGATCAGCTGTTCCCAGGCTCCCCATGGCACTGCCACTTTGAAATGCTGCATGCAGCCCAACAGTGGGCTCCACACAGCATTTCAAAGCAGCACTGTCACACCGACTTGAGGTCAGCTGGAGAGTCCTCAGCTGATCCTGGACTCCATTTGGCGCTGCTGCTTTGAAATGCCGTGGGGAGCCTGATGCAGGGCTCCCCGCAGTGTTTCAAAGCAGCAGTGCTTCACAGAGTCCAGGTTCAGCTGGGGTCAAAGCTAGTTAAAGTTTTCTTGTTAACAGAGTGCTGGATAACAAAGCTTTCACTGTACTTGAAAACTATTAGGTAACAACTCAGTCTTCTCTTCCTTAGACTAAAGTCTGTATCAGAGGCAGCAAGGTGGGAGGAGTGGGAGTGAGAGCTGGTGCTGGTGGGAGCCAAAAGCCAATGGCAGTGTGTGTGGGGGCTGGAAGGAGGGAGGTGGCGAGGGGAACTGTTTTTCAAACTAGCTCCCCTTGCAGGCTGGCACCTACCTGGCCCCCCACGCTGCTGCTTCTGATACAGAGGCAGCAGCATGGGGCCACACGGGGCTCGCTGAGAGTGGGGCAGAAGCGCATTGGTTACCATCCCCGCCCTTGAGGACTATAGAATAGCGGAGTTACCAATAGGAATTCATGCGCTTACTCAACTATTCAATTAACCTATTTCTAACATACCTACGTGACATCACACTCTACTTTCATTGTGATATCTGTGTTGTCGTCAGATTGACATTGAATTTTGGAGCTGATGAGATGGAGAAATGTTATCTTGGGGTTTTACCTTATGTTTTTTCTTGCACTGATGTGTTTGATACAGTTCAAAGGAAACCGTTTTTTTTTTTAACCAAGAGGTTAAAATATACAGATAAATTAAACTTATTCCTACTTAATATCATTGTTGCTGCCAAATCAAAGAGAAGAACAGTGTATATTATGCATTAGCCTGACCAACACTGATTTTTTTTGCACAAAAATTTTTTAAACCGAATTCTAATTATTTTTCTGCTAAGAAATCCTCTAATTTGACAGAAGATAAATATGGTTGAGAAAATCTCAACATAGACGCTCTTGCTTTCTAGAATAAATTGTATTTTGATATCCTTAATCCCCCATAGTACAGAAGAATAGATTTTTTTCCCCCTTCATACATGGGTCATCCATAGCAAGATATTTATATGTAAAATCCTGCTTTCTCCTTCTTGTTAGCTAACTTACATGGCCTTATCTTGGGGAATAAAATATGATGGCTCCTTATATCGATGTGTTATTGCTATTCTTTTTTCCCCTTTAACAAAAAGCTTTACTCATCACTATTGTTCACATTATTTTCTTTATTTTTATAATTCACTATAAATGTATAAGGCATAAGAATAGAGAATTAAGACATTAGGGAATTGGAGGTGTGAAAGCAGCTCCTAAATTGTGGGTTGTTTTTTTTTTTTTTAAACACTCAGAATTACATCTATAATTTACATTGATTTAATGCATTTAGGCAATAGCACATTCAGAAATACAAAGGCTCTACTTGACCAAAAATATATTTTGACTTTAGAAATCCTTCTAAGATTGTTAAGGAATCCTTTGTAAGTTTGAGAACAGCTGAGTCACAGAGATTATGACCTCCATAAAAGGAAAATTTCTTACCAGTTACTAGAGTACTCAGAATATAGTGTCTCTGTCGAGACATATTGTAGGAGACACACTGCAAGATCCAAGAACCAAGCCTTGCCATATTCATTTCTTCATTTTGTCAAAAGTAGCAGCAGTAAGGAGTAAGGGAGGTGGATGGATCAATGTGGATCTGGAGCAACAATATATTTTGATTTCTCTAGTTACTGGTAAGTAATGTTCTTTTCTCTCTCAAGAAATTGCTTCATCGGATATGCCCTGTAGAGCATTAGCACACAGTAATTCCCATGAAGAGAGATGAGGACCATCTAAACGTGGATACTATTATGTAGACCAGGGGTCTCCAAACTACGGCCCGCGGGCCGGATGCGGCCCGCAAGGCCCTCTCATCCGGCCCGTGGAGACCTTTTTGTCTGGCCCCGCCTTCTTCCGCGTGCTGGCAAGATTATCCCTGAGGCGCTTGAGTCCGAGCATTGGTGTCAGCGGGAGAAACGGATTCGCAGGCGGCTGCGCGAGGCCCCAGCGCGCGCACGGGACAGCAGGTAGCCCAGGTCAGGGACGGCTCCGCGTGCCGCTTGGCCGGGCGGGCGAAAAAGGGGGGTCTCGAAGGCGGGCTCCGGATCAGACCCGGCGGCAGAGGATCGCAGGAGGCTGGACGGAGGAGAGGAAACCCAACGGTGGTTTCTCAGGGGCTAGGAGCGAGGGGCTACTTCTCTGGGGGCGGGGCTGAGGAGCTGGTGCCCATTGCAGGAGGCGGTCTGGTTGCTGTGGCACAGTGATAACGTGTCTGCTTTCAAACCAGCTTTTCCCATTAAAATGCATGCCCCTTGTTCCATGAGGCTATGTTACAAATTGTCACCTCATTCCCTGCATGATAGCAGAGCGATCACATCTCTTCAAGTGTGAGTGTCTTAGGCTGAACATATTGAACCACCCCCAATTTCAAACAGTGATTTCTAAAGCCAGAAATGTCTGCTATTTTGGCATCCAGGAAACAATTTCACCATTCACACTAATACAGGTGTTCATGTGTAGTGTATCAATGTGTTATTAAATAATAACTGAATAAAATAATATTAAATAAATAATTAAAAACAACATCCATTTTTTGATTGGTTTTTATTTGGACCTCAAGTGTGTAGTCGGCCCCCGAACTGCTGTTTGATAGTTAATGCGGCCCTCGGGCAGAAAAGTTTGGAGACCCCTGATGTAGACCATGGTTGCTGAAATAATTGCTGGACCTCAAGGCAAGATAGTAGGGGGCTAATTCCAGGGCAGAGCTTTGGGCAATAGGGGTGGAGCTGGTGGATAAACTCTTACAACCAGGCCTTCAGCACTGTCTGGCTTGTGCCACTTGGGGCTCCAGCAGCAATTTGCACGATTCATTTTAAGCAGTACCTCAAGGCCACTTTATGTCCAGTTTATACTATTCAGTCTCAATAGACAAAATTTGTTGCTTTGGGAAGGAGGTGGAAAAACTTATGGCTGCATTGACACCACTTTAGAAGAAACTCTGAATGAAATACATATAATTTATAAAGCAAATGCTCTTTATTATGTAGATAGGGATGTAAGTGCACACACATATGATAAGCCATGCTGTAAAAGATCAAATTAGACATTGCCTCATACATTTATTTACCTACCAAATGGTCTTACAAATCAGCACAAATAGATTTGTGTATATACTCTCTCTCTCTCACACACACACACAATTTGTAAAACCACATGGTAAGTGAATTTATTAGCCAATGTCTAATTCCACTTGAAGTTTGTTACCAAATTACAATGCTTTTCTCATGTTTCAATAGTCCCATGAAACCCCATAAAATACCTACTATTATGAAAACAAACTTCTTCAGAACATACAAATGTCTCAAGTCCCCAAATCAGGTTTTCTAGTGGAGGGGCAGGGGAGCATGCATGCATTAATCTTAAACTGGTAGAACTAATGAGCACCTACAGCTTAATTAGATTTTCCACTTACTCTTTGTATGTCCTTGTTTCAGCATCTTCAGTCATAACATCATGCAGACCTTCCACAGAAACGTTAATGATGCCGCAAAATTTATCTTGGATAACGCTGAAAAAGAACAGCAAACTGATTTAGCTAATCAGGAAATTTGCTTGGTAACCATAGGGCACACCTGTATTACTGTGTTTTCATTATTAAATGTTCACCTGTACATTTCATTAAGTATCTTTTAAAAACTCTCAAAATAAATTACACAAACCGCTAAGAAGCAACTGGTAAAACAAGTGACTAAAAGTATTTAAGAGGCTAATTAACTATAGTTTTTTTTTCCTTTAGAAGAATGAAACTGCACTATATGTTTACAAATAACTTATACATTGCAACATTATATCAATTGTAAAACTGGACAAAAACTGAAAAATCTTAAATGAGAGGAAATCATTTGTCATTACTATATGAGTGCAATTCATCTTTAAATTTGGAGGTTGGGATTAAAACTCAAAATGATCTAGACAAACTGGAGAAATGGTCTGAAGTAAACAGGATGAAATTCAATATAAACAAAGGCAATTCCTTCCTCTGAGGAAGGAATAATCAGTTGCACACTTACAAAATGGGAAATGACAGCCTAGGAAAGAGTACTGCAGAAAAGACTCTGGGGATTATAGTGGATCATAAGTTAAATATGAATCAATAGTATAACATGATTGCAAAAAAAAAGCAAACACCATTGTGG